ATGCCATTCTCCTGCTTCAGCCTCCCAAGTAGCTGGGACTACAGGCACCCGCCACCACACCCGGCTAATTTTTGTATTTTTAATAGAGACGGGGTTTCATTGTGTTAGCCAGGGTGGTCTCCATCTCCTGACCTTGTGATCCACCTGCCTCGGCCTCCCAAAGTGCTGGGATTATAGGTGTGAGCCACCGTGCCCAGCCAATTCAATTTCTTAATAACCAAGATTTCCACCCTGCTGGGACAAATTCCATGACTCCCCCTTTCTTTTCTTAGTTTCACCCCTATCAATTTTTTTAAAATTTACCTTTTTTTAGTAACTTTTAAAATTTTCACCTCTCTAGGATAAGTCCTTTGACTCTCCTGTTTGCCATTCCCCATGCTCTTGTAATTAGCCTAATGTTTTTATTATTATCTGTAAGAACCATGAGGGGAAGTTGAGACAGCAAATTTGAGGCTTCCCGAACTTTTAATTTTGCATCAGTAATGAAGTGCGCATGCAAAAGTCCCTTCCACCCCCGCACCGCCTCACCAGACACACACGCTTAACCACAGCATTTACCATGACCTGGGTAGTGGGCACATTGATGGGGTGAATATCCCTGTCATAAAGCCAGTCCCACATGGCTTATAGACAAAGCATATCAGCTGCTTCATCTGGGGTACTCCACGTAGCATTGAGGCTGACCCCATTCTCAGGGTAAACAGATCTTACAGAGGCTTTTATCCAGTCCACCAGGCTGGCTGTTCCCTCAGGTATAATCTCCCATGTGTCTGGATCACATATAGCCATCTGTGATTGTTCAGTAGTGAGCTGGGGATCCTGCATCAACCCAAACACATTTTTCTACTCTGCAGCATTTAAAACCAAAGACACTGCTCAAATTAGTTACTGTCACAATTCAACAAAAGGTTTACCCAGGGAGCTGATGATACCTATCTACAAAAGGGAACAATTCCTTCACACAGTACCCTCTGGTTTCAGCAGTTACTTGGTTTTGCCCTTCCCCCACGTTGACTACCTTCTTGGCAACCACAGGTCTCAGAGGTACTTTCTGTTGCCCTGTCATTATTTTCCCCTTGTAGATAGCTTTGAGGCTGATGGACCCACATTTGAGCTTGGTCCAGCCTCAAGGCCCAATCTGGCACTCTTATTTTAGCTTTTATAGAAAATAACCAAGGGACTGAATATTTCACTTTTCCTTATTGGTTTGCATTTATTTATGTATCCAGTGAACCAACTCCTTAGGAGTTGGCTCTGAGTTCCACTGGTAACTCTTACCTTTTAGTAACTGAGCACAGCACAGCTACAGCTCCATGCCATAGGTGACCACACGGCCACCCAGGAATCAATCAGAAGTTCCTCATTCTCTATCCTTTTATCCTTTCCCTTTCTATCCATCTAGTTTTATCTGTATCATTTTTCCTTCATTGTAAAACAACCTTTAAATAGCCTCTAAACTATCCAGTTACTCTTCCTTTATGCAAAAACTTCATCTTCATGTTTTTAATAAACTTCTCTACCAAAACACATCTTTCTTTATTCACTTTGATATAGAATTGTTTCTCTTATATCTAGTAGTTTTAATTACATATATTAACTACTGCTTTAACTCTTAGTAACCCTAATTTCCATGTAAAAACCTAGGATTACTTAATTTAATATAACAGACTTTAAGATTTCAAATTACTGAAAAGAACTTTGAAACTAGTTTTACTTGAAAGATTACTAAAGTTAGGTGAACTAAAAGGTATGTGAGTCGGTTTCTATATTTCTGATAATAACTTTTTTTTTTTTTTTTTGAGACACAGTCTCGCTCTGTTACCCAGGCTGGAGTGCAGTGGCACGATCTCAGCTCACTGTAACCTCCGCCTCCTGGGTTCAAGCAATTCTCCTGTCTCAGCCTCCTGAGTAGCTGGGACTACAGGCGCACACCACCCTGCCTGGCTAATTTTTGTATTTTTAGTTGAGATGGGGTTTCACCGTATTGGTTAGGCTGGTCTCAAACTCCTGACCTCAGGTGATCCACCTGCCTCGGCCTCCCAAAGTGCTGGGATTACAGGCGTGAGCCACTGAGCTCAGCCAGAACTTACTTTTTCTTTAAGCCAAATTAGAGCTCTGTCATATATTTTGGTAATGATCTATCACATACACAACACACTAAATATATATAGACATACACACAAACAGAAGCAGATCTTAGTGATTTACAAGATTCTTCATTTGCCAGTTCTCAAATAGCTCTCTCCCACCTTTACACAACCCACCCAAAGACATGACTCAGATGAAACAAGGTAGAGAAGATTTACATCTCAAAGGCCCAGAACTTAGACCTAAATAGCATTATCTGAAAACAAGATTGCCAGGAAAAGTGTCTTCTCTTCAACTTAGCTTGTTTCTTATATTACTGACTTCAGGGTGCCAGTATATTCTTATATTACTGGCTTTAAGGAATAGGGCCAAGAAAGCATGGAAGTTTTGGGGCCTAAACCACACTTTTTTTTATCTAAACATGTCAAGAAACGAGTAGCCCTTGGAGTAATAACCACTTGCTGTAAACAACTGCTGTCAGCCACCTCTAACGATATAGCTGTTGCCCGTGACTGTTAGCCATTACAGACAAGGTCAGCAACTCTCACAGTACAGAGTAATCTCTGTACCCCACCCCCCACCTCCCCACACACTAACCAGAGATCAGATAACACAATGCAAAAGAGTGCAGTTTTAGACCTGAGTAGAATCTGTCTGCTTACTACTCTTGGGTTTCATGAGGAAAAAGAGATTCTTCCCCAAAAGAGGCGTCTTTGATGCTGTCTGTTTTCCCCAAGGGATCCCAGGCTGTTGGAAATTCCTTTTTTTAGATCCCTCGTGTGGCAGGAGGAAGGAGGAACAGACAGAAGTAAATGGAGAAACAGAATTCGGTAGACTCAGAAGTTTTACAAAGTACACAGGCCTTAATACATATGTATACATATGCAGCCCAAATTTCAGTTTTAACTAAGTTTACTTTTAACTGTAGGGCCCTTTAAAAAAAAACTTTTTCCTAATTATAATTCCTACTGAAGCGAGGACCGTTTTTCATTTTTGACACGGAGTCTCGCTTTGTTGCCTAGGCTGGAGTGCGATGGCACGATCTCCGCTCACTGCAACCTCTGCCTCCCAGGTTCAAGCGATTCTCCTGCCTCAGCCTCCTGAGTAGCTGGGACTACAGGCACCCGCCAGCACGCCTGGCTAACTTTTTAAGTTTTTTGTAGAGATGGGGTTTCACCATGTTGACCAGGCTGGTCTCGAACTCCTGACCTGAAGTGATCCACCTGCCTCAGCCTCCCAAAGTGCTGGGATTACAGGAGTGAGCCACTGCGCCTGGCCGGCTGTTTTAGTTTTGCGTCTGCTGCCGGCTGGATCCCGCTGAGAGGCAGTCATCTTACCGCATTGGCTGCCCGCCGCCCTTCCAGACCACAGTGTGATGGGTGGCGCGCAGTTAAACCCACTGGCATTTGGGGTCATCCCCACACTCACAGGGTAGTCCACAATCATCTGAAATGTGAGCCACAGCAGTCCACATAAAGGTGGATGCCCACCACAAGATTTCCTCCATTTCTTGGTCTCTCAGCTCCTGGCCTGGCTTACCACACATGTCAGGGTGGGCAGGCCTGTGCACACCTACCCCAAAGTCCGAGGAAGCTGAGAGGCCAAAGAAAGAGGCTAATGAATCCCATTCCTCGGAAAGAAACATCTAATAGGAACTTATGAACAGAAGCCACGTCTGTGCATTGGGTGGTGGCAAGGCAAGATAATGGATCCCTGTTCCATTACCCACAGACCCAGCACTTACATACCAGAGGAAAGGAGTGTGTAGGACACTTGTAGGGAAAGCCAAGAATGCTATGTGAATCTGCCTAAGGGCAGGATTTATGGTCAAGGTTGTTCTGATGTAAGGGCAGGATTTACGGTAAGTACATGCTCTTCTTACACAAGGAACAGTAGATAAAATAGTAATCTTGGAGGCCATCCCGGAACTGGGGTTAATCGGAAGTCAACATGGCGGATTAGCATCCAACATGGAGTTGCTTTGGCCTCCACAGACAGGATTTCTGGCTGTTACAGTTGATGTTGCAAGCCATATTAATCTGCCTCTGCAGATGCCCTACATGCTCATCTGTCTTATTTTTCAAGTTAACCTACCCCATTCATTGAGTGGCTACAAAGATGTAATGGTCTGAGCACTGGAAAGTAGGTGGATTTAGCAGTGAAGCAGCATGATTATAAGTTTGATAAAACTAAATGTGCCCCACTAACAGTGTTGGGGTCAGTTATAAAACAAGAAATGCAGGATCCCAAAGGAAGCACATTTATTATTTCTAGTGTTAATGACTTCATTTTGTCATTTGACAGACATTTATTGAGCATTAGTACAAAATCATTAACAACAAAAAAAAATTGGTAATGAGAAAGAACTAGGTGCAAAACTGCATCTAAAGTTCAGATCTCATCCTGAGAAAACATTTTGTAAATTGACTGTCTATAATGAGCATTTGAAGAGCTTTGCAGGAAATGTTTTTAACTCCTAGGCTTAAATTCAGATTACTTCTGGAGCACAGAAAAATTTTATAACATATCTGAAACAAACAGGTTATATGTTAGCCTTATAAAAAAACAAAATTTAATTATATCTTTTATCTTTCTGCGTTTCTGTAGGCTTTCTGTGCTCATTTCAAAATGAGACAGTAGCTGACTGGAAAAGTAGATGTCCTGTGTAGAGAGTATATGCCTTGGGTACCTTCCTGCTCTCAGGCTCATCCGTTCTATAAGTGTCTGAAAGTAACAGAGCCTTTGGAGTAGTACCACTCGGTGTATGTCTTTCATCTGTTCATATTATATGTGCAGCTTCTTGCTTTCTTCAAGTCTTCAGAGCTTTTTAACTAAATTGTTTGATGAGAAATATAGCAAATGGCATATTTAAAATCTTTCTCTTGTTTTACCAAACTTTTGAACGACTTTAGATTCACAAGATTCATCGTGATTCAGGAGACAATTCTCAGACAGGTGAGAATACTTCAATTGAACTCTAACATACTTAGGAAGCAGTTGTGGGTTCAAATGTATAAATTTCTCTGAAGAAGTCTTAAGTTGACATCTGCCACCCCAGAATGTAGAGTGCCAAAATCCACATGCTCACATCACAAGGTTGGCAAGCCAAAAGAAAAGCAGATATCCCTTAAAATTTCCTTGAATCTTCCTTTATGGCAACCGTATCTACTGAATGCCCTCCCCATCTTGTTTTTCTTTTCTTGGCTAGATACCATGTAGGACACATAAACCCAAGAGAGTGGGCCAAAAGTCTAGGGGAGACACTGGTTGAATATGACACAAGTGACAATGTGGTGGTTGCTCAACCATGTCCAGTCTCCCTTTTCTTTGCAATAATTGGTGACTGTATAGTTGGAAAATGTTACTAGGTCCTGGCCTGGGAGGCAGAAGCTCCAAGTTCCTATTCAGTTTCCTACTCTCTCATTTCGTATGCTGGGCAAGACTCTGTTTGGTTCTTGGCTTCCTCCTTAAAAAAGAGGAGCTGGACCTGATGGCTTCTACAAGTGGAAAGGTCTGGAATTCTCTGATCGTTAGAGGAAAAAAAAAATCAGTCTGCTACCAAGAATTTAAGATTTTTGTTCCTGCAAGAATTGCAACATTCTTTGCCCTGTTGGTGGCTTTCCTAGCCACTAATGCGTAACGCCAGACCCTAGGCTAAGTGTTTAGTCTCTCTTCTTGATGAGGTGGATCACATCTAGCATACTTAGAAAGATTTCATGTGTTCTTTCTAAGTTTCAATTTTTGTCATTGTAAAATGAATTAACAAAAGCCCATCTCATTGTTAATGAGGATTAAAGAAGGAAATGTATAATGCTTAGCAGTAACTGGCATTTAACTGGTACCTTCCTTCCCCCTTTCTGAAACCTTTCTAGACATGACCAGTCTGGAATAACATAATGACACTTCACACACCGGTGCATTTTCTCTCTCTCCCTCACTCACACACATACATTTTAGTTTATTTCTTGTAACACTTGAGCGGGGGTATTATTTTAACTAACTTGGGAGCTTCTGGGTGCCAGAAACTGTTCTAAGCATTTTCGTGTCCTTTGCAGTGCCCAGCATTGCCTCGTACATCATAGACCCTCTGTAAATACCCAGCAAACACTGGTAAATTGAAACCATTCCATCTTGGAAGTACAGTTTCCACCATTTATTCCCTTTGATCTTGGGCTACCTACAAAATCTCTCCATGCTTAAATTTCTTATCAGTAAAATGGGAATAGCCCTATGTAGTTTTGAGAATTGTTGTAATTATTGGATGAGATAATTATTTAAAGTACATAGCACAATGCCTGGCACAAAGTAGGCACTCAGTAAGTGGAGCTGTTTTTTGTCCTTTTTTTTTTTTCAACTGATGGCACAGTATTCCTTTTTGCCACAGAGTACAGCTATTTAAATGTCCTTTATCCTTTCTCTGGCTTAAGTTTCTAATTCATATAAATATCTGTTGGAAGAATGACCAATGAATTCTTTAATTATGTGGCCTTACTTTAACCTTTATTGAAGAATAATTTCTCCAAACTTTTAATCACTTCTATTGCTGTAGACTCTCTTAATTTTAACTGAGATAAAATCAGGAAGAATAAACATCATCCATCTTTGAATAATTTCTAATGAACAACTTAGAATTCAACCAGCCAGCCTGGGCCATAGCCTTGAAACTAACCTCTCTACTTTTAGTTTTGTTTAGAAACTACATTTTGAGGAATTTTTGGTTCTTGAATCTTGAATTTCATCTTAAATCTTTAAATTAGATTTAATTTATTACTTGGAAAACAAATAAATGCTAGGACTGTACATGATTATGAAGTCCCTGAATAGGCTAAACCAAGTGTCTCACAAGTGAGCAGTATTAGTTTCTCAGGGTTTCAGAAATGCCATGATCCCAACAATATCATTTAAAGTACTATTATTTATAGATAACTGTAAAAATATATATATTGAAACTTATATGCAAGGATAGGTAAATTACTAAGATATAATTTGGAAGATAAAAATTAGGAAAAGAGATCGTATAATAAGTATTTTAAGTTAGATTATTTAAGGTAAGGCGCTATAGCTATGGTGTTCAGATTAACTTTATAATAGTTCCACCTTCACTTCATGTTGTATAAAAATAATTCAGTTTTAATTTTTGATTTAATAATTTTTTTAGTTGAATCAGGTTTTTAGGACACCAAAATAAATGGTTAACAAGGTGATCTAGAAGAGTGTCTAAGACATTATAAAGTGAAAACAGCAAGTAGTGGAACAATGTAACATGATCACGTGTCTAAAGACATATATGCAAATGAACAGATGTAATTAATAGCCCCCAGGTACTACATGCTTACTATGTGGCAGACACTGCTCTAAATGCTAGGCATATATTAACTCACTTATTTCTCAAAACAGCCTATAAATGAGATGCTATCATTACCCCCACTTTATAGACGTGGATAATGAGACCCAGAGAAGTAACATTCCCAAGATTACACAGCTACTGAGTGGCACAGTAGAAATTTGAATCTTGGCGATTTGGCTCTGGAGCTGGTTTCCTTAACTACTAGGTTTCTTGCACCTCGTGTCACTAGGCAATTCTTAAAGAGGAATTATTGCATCTTTTTTTTCTTCTTGGAATAGGATCATTTTATTGGCATCTGAGAAGTGCATTCTTAGACCTGCTGAAATTTGCATGTCTGCCTCCTCTCTTAGCCTAGCGAGGAGTAATCCTGTGTTATGGTTAAATTTCTCTACTCGCTTATGAGTTACTCTCACAAGAAGCAAATGCACTGAAAATGTGTTTCTGAAGCCAACACTGCTGCCTTGTCATTTTTTATATCTCAGCGCTCACTGGTGGCATATGCTTTTTGTTAGTTTTTGCATTAACATGACCGTGCATTTTCGGTGTTAAATTCACGTCTGCAAAGACTTAGGCCAAAATTATTTAAATGTTTGCCTGCCCCCACCGCCCTGGAAGATAGGGACAAGGGTGAGAGTTGAGTTGTTGAAATTTTGGGGAAATCTGAAACTGTTTTCTTCCTTTCCTGTGATCAGCAGTATGCATCATTTGATGAAATCCATCCTTAAAGAGAATCTAGAAGACCATCTAGGGGTCTGACTTTTCAGAGGTGCCCAAAGTGGTCTGAATTAATTTCTTATTTTAAATCTCTATAGGTTTCATTAGTATTATATTTCCTCAAATATCCCCATTTAACAGCCTTCCCTATCCAGTTGAATATATTGTCTTTCAAGTAAAGATTTAAAGTACTATTATTTATAATTTTAAAAATATATATTGAAACTTATATGCAATGATAGGAAAATTACTAAGGTGGAATTTGGAAGATAAAAATTAGGAAAGGAGATAGTATAATAAATATTTTAAGTTAGATTATTTAAGATAAGGTGCTATAGCTATGGTGTTCAGATTATAATAGTTCCACCTTTACTAGTTCAATAGTTCCCTCAAGACTGTCCCTCAAGTTTTAATGTTTATTTTCTTAAATTGTTGTTTTTTTGTTTTTTTTTTTTTTTTTGAGACAGAGTTTCACTCTTGTTGCCTAGGCTGGAGTGCAATGGCACAATCTTGGCTCACGGCAACCTCCGCCTCCCAGGTTCAAGCGTTTCTCCTGCCTCAGCCTCCCGAGTAACTGGGATTACAGGCATGTACCACCACGCCTGGCTAATTTTTGTTTGTTTTTTTGAGACAGTCTCGCTCTGTTGTCCAGGCTGGAGTGCAGTGGCATGATCTTGGCTCATTGCATGCAACCCCTCCACCTCCTGGGTTCAAGCGAGTCTGCTGCCTCAGCCCCATGAGTAGCTGGGATTACAGGCATGCTCAACCATGCCTGGCTAATTTTTGTATTTTTAGTAGAGATGGGGTTTCACCATGTTGGTCAGGCTGGTCTCCTGAACTCCTGACCTTGTGATCTGCCCGCCTCAGCCTCCCAAAGTGCTGGGATTATAGGTGTGAGCCACTGTGCTCAGCCTAATTTTATGTATTTTTTTTTTTTTTTTTTTTTAGTAGAGACAGGGTTTCTCCATGTTGGTCAGGCTGGTCTCAACCTCAGGTGATCTGCCCGCCCGCCTTGGCCTCCCAAAGTGCTGGGATTACAGGCGTGAGCCACCACACCCAGCCTAATGTTTATTTTCAAAATTACATTCATGGAACTAAATAACCCTTGATACTAAGCTATATTACTATGATGTAACATGGCACCATTTAAAAAAACCATCATTTAACTAATATGACTATAATTTTTGTGTCTTTCATGATTTGAAAAGAAAGTGGTTATTTCTTAAAATTATTTTATAGTGCTTAAAAAGTAACCTTGTTTTCTTTAGAGAATAAAGAAAAAACATATTTGAATCTCTTCTGTGAATACACGGAAAACTAATCACCTTCCCTTTCTAATCTGAAATCCTTAGAGCCTCATTCATTCAGATATAAGAACAGGAGGAAAGAGTCCATTGACGTGAAATCGATATCATCTCGAGGCAGTGATGGTAAGACATTTTTCAGATTCCTCTGACCTTTTTAAAATGTAGAAAATGATGGAAGAATATATTAAAAAATTCATCAGTGTATAAACTCCAAAGAGTAAGAGTTCAACACCACCGACTTCTTTTTCAATAAGCTGAAAGATTTTAGGGTTTTTAATTATTTTAATTATTTTAAAAAATCTTATGCTGTAGTCTTGGTCCTCTCTTTGGAGGGACTCCATGCTTGTTCCTTGATGGCTTGAAGCATGTTGAGCCATAACCACCCAGGCGACTCAGAGTTTTAGTAGCTGAACACGGTCACTCTTGGGTGCTAGAGGCAGAGAGGCAGCCAGTCCTGGCTTCCCAACTGCCAGCACAAACCTAGTTTTCAGTGTACCAGCTATATGCACTCAATTCGTAATAAAATGTCACAGAGAAATTGTGAGGCAGAATTTAGCAAAAATGTTTCTGTCCTGCAAAGCAGGATTAAGCAAAACATTTTTTGAGTTCCATCAGCCAGGCCTAAGTAAACTATTGGATTTGCAGGGAGATGGAAAAGTCAAAGATTATTCTGACATTTCATTGCTCAGTGTCTGGGAAATTTTAAGTCTTATTTACAGAAATGGGAACGTCTCCAGGTTTTGCTAGGTTGGGGGTTAAGGAGAAGATGATGAATCTTATTTTAATGGAGACGGCTAGGAAGCTGACCTGCAACCCTGGTACTCGGGGCTATAGATGTGGACTCGGCAGTCCTAGTGGTGACAGGTGAAGCCAGGGGCAGAAGAACATCTCTAAGGGGTGTGTGTTCATGTGCATGTAGTGAAAGGACAGAGGGTCTAAGCCTGAGCCTGAAGGCACAGTCTCAGCCAAGGGGTGGGCAGTGGAAATAGGGCCAGTGAAGAGGACAGAAGAGCTGGGGGTGACCATGTGAGTGCAGTGTCACATGAACCAAGAACAAGAGGGGACTGAGAAAGGAAGTGGCCAGCAGTGTTAGATGCTATGGATATCAGAGCTAGAGAGCAGACAACAGACTAGTACATTTCACTCACTCATTTGGTTTTTATTTGGCAAATGGGAGGACAGGTTCTGGGGTGTGAGGAGGGGATGGTTAGTGCCTGTGATAGAAGAGAGATGAGGCTGGTAACTTAAGAGAGTCAACAGAAAGGACAAGGGAGGGACCTTCCAGTCCTTCAGTACACAGTGGGAAGACTGAGTATTAAAGTGGCTGACATAGGCCAGGTACAGTGGATCATGCCTGTAATCCCAGCACTTTGTGAGGCTGAGGCAGGCCGATCACCTGAGATCGGGAGTTCGAGACCAGCCTGATCAACATGGTGAAACCCCATCTCTACTAAAAATACAAAATTAGCTGGGTTTGATGATGCATGTCTGTAATCCCAGCTACTCAGGAGGCTGAGGCATGGGATTCGGTTGAACCCGGGAGGTGGAGGTTGTGGTGAGCTAGATCCTGCCTCCAGCCTGGGCAACAACAGTGAAACTCCGTCTCAAAAAAAAAAAAAAAAAGGGGGGGCTGACATAGCAAGGACCAAAGATGCTAGAGACAAGGTGATAATTCACAGGGCACGTGAGGGATGGAAACCAATAATATAAAGAGAATATGAATCGAGAGATTTTCGATGGATTGAGTGGATAGATAGAATCTTTTAGACTGAGAGGATAGGGGTTGAGGGAATTTGAACTGGACTCACTGGTTTTGGAGCCGACCTTGAAGGGGACTATCGTCGCTCCAGTGTGGGCACAGTGGAGGCTGAAGAGCATGCAAGTCTGCAATGGCTGCTACACCAGCAGCAGGGGGGACCCCAGAGTGGCTGAGCAGGAGGCAGGCTCTGATGTGGGCTGGGTTCAGTGATCCCATCCATGAAATGGGACTCTACCCCTCCTGCCTGCCTCAGAGAGGGTGGTAGGAAGATCTGATGAGAACAGTGCTTTTCAAGTCAAGCTTGTACCCTTGGCATCTTAAACCAAGTATGAACATTACCTATTCAGAAAAATAGAAGTTTTTAAAAAAATTAAAGTTTCTGTGGATTTGAACTAGAACTTCCATGGGTTTCTGGGAGTTAAGAGCCTGAAGGCATGGGCAGTGGAGTGACTGGCCCTAATTCTGACTGAGAATGGGCTCAATCCTCCGCCCTGACCCTGAACATGAACTGTCTCCCCTCCCAAGCTGGCTGCACGGTCATCTGGTTACACGGCCAGCGGCTTAGGACTGAAAGTCGTGGAACTGCAAAAGTTGGGTTTGGGTGGCCTGGGGGAAAGTGAGCCCTGTGGGGGTCATTAGGCTGTTGGAATGAGGCCTTTTTGGTCCCCATCAACCTTCTCTGAAATTCCCCTTCTGGACTTGGGCTCACCAAGCCCTCCTGCCTCCAAAGTTCCAGGCCAGGTCGCCTTTCCAGACTCAGGCAAGTAGAGGCTGGGCTGTCAGCCTTGGCAGAAGAGATGGGTGAATTCATGGCTTTTTAGGTGGGAGGGTGGTCCTGTGAGAAGTGGGCCCTGGTCCATGAAGGGACTCCTTTGCTGCACTTAGCCACACTGAGCCACCAGAACTGGACAGCTTTCTTGCCTTCTCTCCAGCACCAAGCCTGCAGAATCGTCGCTATCCGTCCATGGCGAGGATCCACTCCATGACCATCGAGGCTCCCATCACAAAGGTGAGTGGCGGCTGCTGCCCGCACTCTGCATTCAGGGGCCCTCACACAGGGCTGTGCTCTGAAAATATATCGCACTGACATCATGGAGCTCAGTCTAGTGGAAGAAGCAAATAACAGGCAAATAAACGCATAACAAAAGTCACAATCAGGGCCGTGAAGGAAAACAACTGGATTCTGTGAGAGAAAATTAGAGCAGGGCCCTTAAGTAGGTTGGATGAGATGGGTGGTCAGGGAAACTCTCAATCATGTTTGAAGCAAGACTTGAAGCATATAGTGTTACTCAGGAGAAGAAGGAAGAGAAGAAGACTCCAGGTAGCAGGAACAGCAAGGGAAAAAGCATTGCGATGGGCAAAGAGGGATTGGAACATTTAAGGAGGTGAAAGAAAGGTGGAGTGGCCGGAGCTTGGTAAGCAGGTGAGAGAGGAGGAAGATGTAGGTTGTACAGGGCTCATTCTGGACCACAGGGACATGGTTAGGAGTTTATATCTTAGTTTATGTGCACTGGAAACCACTGAAGAGTTTCAGGTGTGGGGTGGGCGATGTGACCAGATATCTGTTGAAAAGAACACCCAGCTATTGTGCAGAGAATGGATTGGAGGTGGCAAGAGAACAGGTCAGTTAGGGGGCTATTCTAGAAGTAGCTGAGCTAGAATTATAGCAGTGGAGGTGGAGAGAAATGATCAATAAATATTTTGGGGTAGACCAGTAGGACTTGGTGATGAATTATATTACCAGGGGTGGGAGAGGAATGAGGAAAAGTATGTCAGGCCCGGCCTCCCAGGTTTTTGGTGTGAACATGAGGTAGAGAGAAGTGCTTTCTATTGCAGTGTAGAAACCACAGAAGGTGAACAGCTTTTGTCTTTGGTTTGTGTGTGTGTGTGTGTTTATGTGCTTTCTGTGGGGAGAGGGGAACAAGACCATAGTTAAGTGTCAGACCTGTGAGATATTCCAGTAGGTATGTCAGGTAGGGAATTGAACATACAAGCCTGGAGGTCAAAGGAAGTTGAGGGCTGGGAGGTATATCGAAAGTCCCTGGCTATGGATCGTAGGTGTCCAAAGTCATGAAACCAAAATATCATTTCTGGAAGTGAGAGAGTGAGAGAAGGACCCAGAACAGATCTCTGAGCAACCCCAACCTGTAGAGGAGGGCCGGGTAGGCGAATCCGCAAGGGAGCCTGAGGAAGCCCAGTCACTGAGGTAGGAGAACATTCATCAGGAGCCTGCGGGGTGAAAAGCATGCTTCAGGAAGAAGGGTGGTGCCGTGAAAGCACTGGTCATTTTGAATAAGTGATGGTTACCCACTGATTTCTTTTGGATTCTGGGCATACATACGACTTTTGGGAAGTAGAACCTATTGTCCTCAGATGTATTCTTTCTTCACTCCCTTAGGTTATAAATATAATCAATGCAGCCCAAGAAAACAGCCCAGTCACAGTAGCAGAAGCCTTGGACAGAGTTCTAGAGATTTTACGGACCACAGAACTGTACTCCCCTCAGCTGGGTACCAAAGATGAAGATCCCCACACCAGTGATCTTGTTGGAGGCCTGATGACTGTGAGTGATGAGGCAAAACCTGAAAAGCAAGAGAGGTATCCGGGGCCCCTAGAGTGCAGCTGATGTGGAAACTGTTACCTATGGTTGCAGAAGTACCTGCTGTATAGACTAACATTGGCATAACCAGAAGCAACTGCATCGGAATTTATGTATTACATGTGTAGTGGTATTTGAGTGACTGTTGCATTTGTCTTTCCACAAGGCTGACCTACCACAGCCATGGGGACAGTGTTTCAGAATTCCTGTGACTGCAGGGAGTCAGTGGGCAACTGGTGGAGGGCTCAGTGTATGAGATGGGGCTTTGCAGGCTCTTGATTACTCCTGCTTTCCCTTGATCTGGTATAGTACTGGATCTCATTTCCATGGACCTCAGACTCCTCATGTAATGAAAGGGTTTATAGTTAGACTAGAGCATTTAATCTTAACTATAGGATCCTTTATTTAAATAAAAGTTTGTATAGAAGTTCCATTTATAAGGTAAAAGCAGAATGGGGCTGTTCTGGCTCAGGGAGGGGAAGGGAAGAAGGAACCTCTCATTGCCACATTCCAAAAAGCACAATTTACACCACCAAGAGTAGCTGATTTCTAGGGACTCATCCTATGAACTGTTTGGCTTTCATAATCATCTATCAGCAAGTAAAGGAAAAAAATTCAAATTATTTATTTGAGTTCCCCATCAGAAGCTGGAATTCTTTAGAAAAAAAGTCCAGAGGTCATGTATGAGTTTGACTCTGAAGGTTTCTGTCCATCCCTGCCACCAAATGCTGAATGTTGACTGACTTTCCCCTCCATTCTCCACCTGGAACTTGAGGGCCTCCTTGTTTCTTTCTTGCCCCTGGGCTGGCCTGTTAACTCCATCTAATGCAGTGCAGAACTCAGCTTCTAGGCAGCACCGGCAAGGGCTCTGCAAGAAGGTGGTCACCACAGAGCTGCAGTGGGAAGGCTCTAGTTCTGGGAGCAAGCCATGTTCCCTCCCTCCCCTGCTGCTGATGCAGGAAAGGCAAGTCCTCAAACTGGGGCCCAGCCGGGAGGGTTCTTGGCTTCACCAAGGAAATATATCAAGGGCAAGCCGGTGGTGTTAAACAGCAACTCTGTTAAAGCAGCAGTTGTACAGCAGCGGCAGAGGGACTGCTCCGTGCACAGCGGGGCTACCCCATGGGCAGTGTGTCCCTGGTAGCAGCTCAGAGGCAGTGCTGCCCTCATCTTTATATGCACTTTTAATTACATGCAAATGAAGGGGCAGTTTTGGCAGATATTTCTAGAATGAGGGTGATAACTTCTGGGTTGTTGCCCCGGAAAGGGGTGGAAACGTCTAGGTGTTGCCATTGTAAGCTGTAGTGGCATGCTGGTGGGCATAGCTTATGGGGAGGTACTTCTGCCCTGGACCTGTTTTACCTAGTCCTCAATTTGGCCCCATGTCCAAGTCCCTCCTCCTACATCACTGCCATACCATCCTGAATTTCCTCTCCAGAGGATGCTGTGAGGAACCAGTGCATGATTCCACCTCAATTTTATGTGGTTTTGGGGAAGTGGAATGAGAGAACAGCAAGGAAAACCAAGAATCTCTTGCCATACACACCTTAGAGGCAGGACAGTTGTGGCTGTTGTTACCTCCGTATTTACTCAGCTCTTGGCCTAAAGATCCAAGTTGTAACTTCAGGGGAGTCCTTCGTTAATTAATACTACTTTAAACCTTAGCACACATCATCTGGGAATGACAAATAAGCATTTCTAAATGACTTTTACGCAAAGATCTAGATAATTTAGGTACTCAGAGATCGAAGGCAGAGGGAAGGAAACTGAGATTCAGGAACACTTGGGGACTAGTTCTAGAGCCAGGACATGGCCAAGCATTTGAATTTATCCACTCTCTTAATGCTGCACTCCAAGGACCTCAAGCCCAGAAACTCTTCTTTAAAAGGCAAGCAGCAATGCTCATGTTTTAAAACATAAAATACAGTTGGGGAAAAATTAGTTGGGATGTTAGTCAAAAAATAGCTCAATTTTTTTAAAACTTTATATTCGAAGGTAATCCCCTAAATATGGCTGATGGCTTCAACTCCTCAAAATGTAAGTCTGAAAACACAAGTAACACAGTCCCTCTGAGGGTGAGGCAATCCTGTCAAGATCTGAAGCAAGGACTGTCACAGTCACATCCTGACGCAGCCATATCCACTCTATCCCAGGTCTCCACTTTCTGGGGCTAATAGTTACAGAAGGGAGAGTATCGTCTGTCTTATAACTGTTCTGATTTAATTTTGAGCTTTGCTTCAACTTAGACTTCAGGATTGGTTGGGTTATTCAGGATTCAAATCTCTTTCACTAATAAAAAAAAGAAAGAGAGAAAATGATAATGGATATAAGCATACTTCTAACAGGATCTTCCTTTATTCCAGGATGGCTTGAGAAGGCTATCAGGAAATGAGTATGTGTTTACTAAGAGTAAGTTTTCATCTATCTACTTGTTACTGTAACCTGTCGCCAGCCTGTGCTGTCCCTGCTGTTGTGATTATTGTTCTGGGAGGTGTTACTTCCAGCTAGTCCCATTTGAGTTTAAGCATCAATATGGTCTACCTTTAAAATTAGTTTCCTAATTAAAATTACTTCTCTGAGCACAGTTAGAGTAAGAATTGCAAATCTCTATACATTTAAGAGAGTAAATGATAATGGATATAAAGCATACTTCTAACAGGATCTTCCTTTATTCCAGGATGGCTTGAGAAGGCTATCAGGAAATGAGTATGTGTTTACTAAGAGTAAGTTTCCATCTATCTACTTGTTACTGTAACCTGTCTCCAGCCTGTGCTGTCTCTGCTGCTGTGACATTGTCTCCGGGGAGGCAAGTTACTTCCAGCTAGTCCCATTTGGAGTTTAAGCATCAATATGGTCTACCTTTAAAATTAGTTTCCTAATTAAAATTACTTCTCTGAGCACAGTTAGAGTAAGAATTGCACTTATACATTTATTTTATTTATTTTATTTTTTTTTTTTTTTTTTTTTGAGAGGGAGTTCCCGCGCTGTCGCCCAGGCTGGAGGTGCAGTGGCCGGATCGCAGTTCACTGCAAGCTCCGCCTCCTGGGTTTGTGCCATTCTCCTGCCTCAGCCTCCCTATAGCTGGGACTACAGGTGCCCGCCACCTCACCCGGCTAATTTTTTTGTATTTTTAGTAGAGACGGGGTTTCACGGTGGCTAGGGGCCAGGATGGTCTCGATCTCCTGACCTCGTGATCCGCCCCGTCTCGGCCTCCCAAAGTGCTGGGATTACAGGTTTACTTTCACGCGCCCGGCGCAAATCTCTATACATTTAAACAGGGTTAAAGTGAATTATTTTTCTATTTGAGGTTCTTGAAGTTCAATAACAGAAAAATCAGGTATAAGACTTTTTTTCTAGTAGTAACCATGAAGATGATGACAGACAGCCGGGCGCTCAAGATTCCACAATTAACCAGCCTCCCCCATCCCATCTGTTTGCTCAGATGTGCACCAGAGCCACAGTCACCTTGCAATGCCAATAACCATCAATGATGTTCCCCCTTGTATCTCTCAATTACTTGATAATGAGGAGAGTTGGGACTTCAACATCTTTGAATTGGAAGCCGTTACGCATAAAAGGTATGTGAGGACTCTGGCTGAAGGCAGAGCAGGATTGATGGCCACATTCAAACTCTCACATTTGGAAACTTTGAGGGAGATATGTTTTTGCCGTGAGAGACCTCATGGGTTCTGGCTCTCATGCCGTGTTAGAGTAGTGTTGAACGAGTAGAGAGACTGTAACCCTTGAGTGACCCCCTTTGTGGAGAGTATTAGTAAGATGTGGGATCCACCTGAGTATCCACAGGTCCCTCCTTTGTGCTAGTGAGCCAAGAGTTCTAAGAATCTTCAGTCTCAAAATTGTTGAAGCTCTACCCTACAGAATGGAATTGAGAGCACTATAGATTTTTTTTTTTTCATGATCCATCCTGTAGGCAGAAGAAAGATTAGATAACTAAAAGTTCTTTTTCTGTACTAGGAGAAGGCTGTTTCTTCTCAGGGGTGTTGGTCTGTAGGATATGAATGATTCTCACCTGTAATGTAAATAAGTAACAGGACTCTAAATGATAGGACTTGGGACCATCCAAGCTGTTCCTTTCGTCCTTAGGCTTAGTCACTTCCTTAGGGAGCAGAAATAAAGTGCAAGGTTAATGTGGAAGTGGAAGTGGAAGTGGAAATGGAGAGGGACTGCCAGGCTCCTTTCTTGCTTGTCAGAGCCACTGAGGGGCCGATGGTTTAGAGATCATCCAGAAATAATTTGGATGTACTACAATGAAGCATCTAGTTCCAAAGAGGTGGCTGGTGAGGAGGAGAGATCCCACCTCCTAATTTTTAGAGGAGATGCTTTTAAACCCCTGTGTGTGTGTGAAGCTATCATCAGAAGAAAAATGCTTCCATCCCCCACTATCATCAAAGAAAACAGTTTCTGGGCCAGTGAATACAATGAGCCCGGGTGGGTTTTCCTATTTTTCAGGCCACTGGTTTACCTGGGCTTAAAGGTCTTCTCTCGGTTTGGAGTATGTGAATTTTTAAACTGTTCTGAAACCACTCTTCGGGCCTGGTTCCAAGTGATCGAAGCCAACTACCACTCTTCCAATGCCTACCACAACTCCACCCATGCTGCCGACGTCCTGCACGCCACCGCTTTCTTCCTTGGAAAGGAAAGAGTAAAGGTAGGATTTTGATACCATGACCTAGTTACCTGCCTGGATTGGAGATCCAAGAACTTAATCTTAGTAAATACATTAAGCAAACAGCTATTTTGCAACCAAGTTGACAGCTTTTAAAAAAAAAGTTTTTTGTTAACAAATTGACCAGTCACTTTGGTGTTGTAAAGACACGGACCTTTCTGCTAGCCCTCCCCTCCTCCAAATACTGAAAATAATAATTTATATCACCACAGAGACTCCTTTATATGCATGGCAGATAATGAACCCATTTTCCAAACGTTAGCTAGGAGCTGTGTTACTGGGTTGCAGGACAGAACTTAATTATTACAGCAAATGGTTACTAGATCTATAGGTTAAATTTTAGTATCAGGATTTGGCCACTGGTAGATTACAATCCAGATATTAATAGCCATTCCACATTCTACACTGATTTACATACATTTGTGTTTGTGTTTCGTGTAGGTGCGAATGTGCCTATCTGTATATTAATGACTTCTGCATAATTCTGAATGAGTTCCATATCCCCTGGTCTTAGAGTTCAGTACTGTCATGTACCACCGCTGACTTGCAGGGCAGTCCTAGGAACCCCTGCCCTTTACATAAGGGCAGCCCTATTTAAAGCCGGCAAGCAATCCCCATCTCTCCTTCTCCCCAGCTACCCCCACTTGCACACCGAAGCTTATACATTCTTTTGCTACAATAGAACTAAAACTTAAAGTTTAGATACCCCTGGGAGAAGTGCCATACAGGGATTGAAATTCACGCCAATCTGTAAATGCCTGACGTTAGATCATTTTCTTAGAACAAGTGTTGATGAAGGATTAATATCCTAGGTATTTAGGAGCTATAGTGAGACAGGTAGAAGCAGAAATGGCATGAAAACAGGAAGAGGGGTGTGGGTAAGGTTTTCTTCTCAGTTTTGCCAGCAGCATCCTGATATTTATTCAGTTTCATCAGCAAGAAAACAATGTGGCCCAAGAATGATGCTTTTGAAGAATTTTGTCTTCTACTTTTAAAAACTAATAGTGATATCAACCTATGTTTCTATAACACTTTTCTTTGAGGAGTGAAAACACCCTGGATTCCTGGTTCATGCTCCTCTTTTTTGGGGGGGTGGGGGGATGAAGTCTTGCACTGTTGCCCAGGCTGGAGTGCAGTGGCGTGATCTCAGCTCACTGCGAACTCCACCTCCTGGGTTCCAGCAGTTCTCCTGCCTCAGCCTCCTGAATAGCTGGGACTACAGGCGTGCGCCACCACGCCCAATTTTTTTTTTTTTTTTGTATTTTTAGTAGAGGTGGGGTTTCACCATGTTGGCCAGGATGGTCTCCATCTCCTGACCTCGTGATCCACCCACCTTGGCCTCCCAAAGTGCTGGGATTACAGGCATGAGCCACCATGCCCGGCCCATGCTCCTCTCTTTTATACCACATGATATTTCACAGCTGAAGCCACATGCTACCAGGTGAGAACAGCACCCAACTCATTAATGCCAAGAGCAAGGTGATCAATAGCCTCTGCAGTCTTGAGTTAGAGGTGAACCTCACTCAAGCAGAACCACTCTAGGAAAACGTTGATGAAATCTTTGATAAATTAGGGAATGCTTAGTAGCTTGATCATATCTTACTATCCTCTTCCAAAATATGTTTCTTTAAATTGTGAGTTCTGCTAGTATATTTGGAGCCTGATTAGATTTCTCAAATGACAGCAATAGAAACAAGTTTAAGATTGGACAGAATATGTTTACAATTCAGAAAACATTTTCTCATGCTGGCAGCCCCTGCCAGAGAATCAGAAAACTTAGAGCTGCTAGGAACCTTGGAAAACTGAGCTGGAAGGGGCTTCTGTGCTCAGAGCTTTGGTTACCTGCCTGTGATCACTGGTGGGTCCATCATGAGGTGCTTCCAGAAAGATTTTTTCCTGAGGTCTCTTCTACCAGATCTGCTGGCACTGACAAAGAGGGTCAGGAAGTATTTTCTCACCTCTCTTGTGTCATCTGTCACCCCTAATTTCTTTGTGATAAGCTAAATTTTTTTTCTTTTTTTTTTTTTTTTTTGAGACGGAGTCTTGCTCTGTCGCCCAGGCTGGAGTGCAGTGGCCAGATCTCGGCTCACTGCAAGCTCCGCCTCCCGGGTTCAAGCAATTCTCCTGCCTCAGCTTCCCGAGTAGCTGGGAGTACAGGCATGCACCACCACGCCTGGCTAATTTTTGTATGTTTAGTAGAGATGGGGTTTCACCATATTGGTCAGGCTCATCTCGAACTCCTGACCTCAGATAATCCACCAGCCTCAGCCTCCCAAACTGCTGGGATTACAGGTGTGAGCCACTGTGCCCGGCCAGGCTAAAATTCTTAATTCTATGACAAAGCATGCCCAACCCAGCTGTAAAGCTAGCATGCCCAGAGCCAACACTCCCTTCAATTGGTGACAGACCCCATCCTCTCCCCACGTTACCCAATTCCAGGGAACTATTGCAAGTGGAGAGGCCAGGATAGCAAGCATTCCTTTATTAGTATCTGGGCATACATGAATATTTATCCTGAATATTCGAAAAGCAGATCTAGAATGAAACACTTCTGGCCAACTTTCCTCAGTGTGATCCAAATCTACTCCTACTGGTTAAGGAAGGAAAAAACCATGCAGAGGTAACTGCACCTCCACGGGACTGGAATTTCGCCAGTTGCGGGTTTGGTGGGGTTTTCTTCCACGGATAGCTCCTCCCTGACATACAGCCTTGCTTCTCTCGTCGGCTAGTGAGCTGGCCTGTCTTCCTTCCCTACCTCCCAGCCATTTCTGGTCTGACAAGGCCTTGTTGGTGCCCACCTAAACTGCAGGACCGATTATTGGTATCTTTGTAAAAGTCACTGAGGGCATGGTTTAAATCAGTGTTAGCTGGAAGGAAAGGCATGTTTCATCTAGTGCTATGTATGTTTTCTACCCCAGTTACTTGAATCTCTTTCATTGAAGAATTAAAAAATAAACAGGCCTGAGACTCCAAGCAGGATTGAACATACCACAGGGGCACTAGCTAGAGGCCCAGAGTTTGGGCCCTGTGGGTTCTCACTGCTTAGGTACAGTCAGTGAAGGCAGAGCCCAGGTTGGGGCTGTCCTGGGTCCTGAGCTTGGAGATCGCTGAACCTGCCTGCAGGTGACCGTGGCCTCTCTTGACCAGCAGTGAAATGGGCCAAATCATGCTTGCTTGCCCTGAGCACTGCAGAATCAATCTCTGAGAAGAGCTGAAAAGAGTAACTTCTGCTGTCCCTACTCAGGAAGCCTAGTTGTGTTGATTGGGGTCACCCCAGGGTTGCTCACCAGCTCCATGGGGTCAGCGTCAGGAATGGCAATGGCTCCCTTCTGGTGGAGACAGAGCTTTTGGGGAAACCTGCTAAACCAATACAAACATGTGCAGCCCCTTGGCCATCAGGGTGCCGTTGCAGGACAGGGCTGAGCTACAGGTTCACCTTCCTCACCTGAGCAGCCGTTCATCCTCCTGCAAGCCTAGGAGAGCAAATTTTGGGAATACCAAAAAAGGATGACCCACCCCACCCCCCGTATCCTGGGGACCACTTTCCCTCTCACTCACTGTCCCTTTAACCGCAATGATGTTGCTTACATTTCCTGAACAGACCTTTTTTCATTTGACTTCAGGAGCTTCATGCAGGCTGTTCTTTCTGCCTGGAATTCCCCTCTTGTTGCTTGTTGCCTGGACAATTCCTACCTCTCCTTCAGACTCAGCAGACCCACCCTCGAGACTCATGTTATCCGATATGTAGCCATCAGTCTCACATGGCTGCGAAATAAAATTTAAAATGCAGTTCCTTGGTTGCATTGGCTACCTTTCAAGTGTCCAGTAGCTGCATGTGACTAGGAGTTACTCTATTGGATAGCACAAATAGAACACATTTCTGTCATCGCAAAACATACATTGGACAATGCTGCCCTAAACTAGACCAGGCCCCATGGTTATACTCCCAAAGCATCTGTACTTTCTTTCTTAGCACATCTCACAGCAAGTTACTTCTGTTTGTGTTTTAAAATGTATTTGTCTCTCTCCCTCTACATTACAAACTTCCTTGTGCAGGCTGTGCCAGTGTAAATCATTGCTGCAGCTCTGGCACTATGCAGCGATAATTGGTACCTGGTAGGCACTCAATAAATAATAAATTCCTAGTACAGCATCTCTTATATAACATAGCCCATCTGATAACTCCCTCCTAAAGCTGCAGGCTCAGAAAACACTTGTATCCCCGGATGCTCTGGTTTGTGTTCTTTAATTACATAATGAGAGCTTTCAAAATAGGGTTTCCCTTTTTGCCTTTGCTGCCTGCTAGCCCAGAGCTGAATTTTGTTCTTAGTTGCAAGAACCCCCTTAGCCTTAATTTTCCTGGCAAAGTTATTCTTCTTCCCCTTGGTCCTCTTTTACTGCTTGGTCCTCTTTTACTTGGTACTCTTTTACTCTTTTACAGCTCTAGTCATTTCACCATTGTATGAATAGTTTTGTTGTATCTGAGCCATTTGCTACATGCACACTCAGAATCTTTTCAGAACTAGGCAAATTGGTAATATTTGTGAACATAGGCCACTTTCTGCTGTGGCAGAAACACCGTACAGTGGGCAATTCAAAAGGCTTGTTTGGCCTCTTCCTGCAGAACCAACTGATGGCCCCTGGAGAAAGAATTAAGCTGTCTGTTGTAACTGTGGCTCAGGTTTCCCTCCTGATAACAGACAGCACAGTAAAGCGATGCTGCATGTCCGAGGCCGCCTCTCCACATCTAGGAGGTCAGAAGGCTCAGCCGGCTAAAAACGTTCTGAAAATCCCACGTCCCCTGACCTGACCCTCTGCACAGACAAGGATGGATGTGGGTCTCCAAGATCCAGTGGTAATGCTCAACCTTGCCTCCCCGTATCCCAGGGAAGCCTCGATCAGCTGGATGAGGTGGCGGCCCTCATTGCCGCCACGGTCCATGACGTGGATCACCCGGGAAGGACCAACTCTTTCCTCTGCAATGCAGGCAGTGAGCTTGCTGTGCTTTACAATGACACTGCTGTTCTGGAGAGTCACCACACCGCCCTGGCCTTCCAGCTCACCGTCAAGGACACCAAATGCAACATTTTCAAGAATATTGACAGGTTTGTTGTGCTTGGACTCCTGTGCTCAAGTTTGTGAAGTTTAAGTGGGAAACTCAGTTTTCCCAAATACTTAGCTTCCTCTTAGGGGAAAGGGAAAATAATAGCTGTCCCACTCTATCAGATGATAAAATAACCTTGCCCTTAACTCAATTTGACTTTTCAGACTGCCTTTATGTTTTGAAATCACATTTGGTCTTCAGTGAGTTCATAAAAATGTTTTATACACTGCAGAACACTACATAAATATTGATTGTATTATTACTACGTACACCAGATATTTTTACCCTCCTACGAGGACATCCTGTCTTTTGTGCAACTTGGGGAAAATGTATCCACCCCCATCTTTCCCTAGCTCAATTTCCGGCAGCTTAAAATACTCCCTTATGAGTAGGTCCCACAGAGCAGGAGCAGGAAGGGTCGGTCAGGTTCCCCCAGCCCTGCATTGTCCGCTGATGACAGTGGGTTAGATGTGAGCAGGTCCTCTTGCCTGCCAGCACCTTGCGGTCAGGCTGTGGGTATTTCCCACACAGCACCAGCCAGGCTGGTGCACGGATGCCTGGGAGGGGGCAGTGTACACAGAACATGGAGCGGCCTCAGGACCGCTGGTCTACGTGAACCTGTTGGTTTGGTCTCCAGAAAACTGGGAAAACATGGAGGTGAGTTATTCCATCTTTGGCTTCAGTTTCATGAGTATCAAGGATGGGTTTTTAAACTTTTGCAGAAAATTCTTTCCAGTAGCCAATTTTATTCAAGAGCCATTCTGGCTCTTGAAGTTAGAAAACGACGACAGAATTGGATGGTTAATTTAGGGCACGGTTGTTGCTTCATTCATTACAACTTCTGTCCGCTGCAATCTAGGGAAGTACTTATTAACAGGAAAATCCTCCATTGCCATCACTGAAGGACGCCGTGGCCATTCTGCAATGGCAATCACTGTGTTTGCACAGAGTGCAGTGCACCAGCTTATGTGGCTGCTGTATTAGCCTACCATTTCCTGCCACCGTACTGTTTTGATGTTCTCAAGGGAAGGGAGAAGGGAATCACCTTGTCAGATAAATGTCCACCATGTGACAGGTACCTTCTGTCTTTTTAAAAATACTCATAAATCACGTAAGCGTCAGCTATCACTGGGGAAAATGGAGTAGCATCTGCAGGTCTTGGTTATTGGGAGGACGAGCAGGTAAACTCTTCTTGCGATCTGCACACATTTCTTAACTCTGTGCCGCAGCTTCCTCCTAGGTTGTGAGGAGTGTAGTGAAATGGTGGCAGAATAGTTATAATTCGAGACACACTGTGAACAAGCCCCTTTGTCTTCTGGTTATTTTAGGAACCATTATCGAACGCTGCGCCAGGCTATTATTGACATGGTTTTGGCAACAGAGATGACAAAACACTTTGAACATGTGAATAAGTTTGTGAACAGCATCAACAAGCCAATGGCAGCTGAGGTGAGTGCTGCTTTCCATGCCGTAAGGCACATCCAAGTACGTTCCCATGAGAGCCTGCTCTGGCCCCAAAGCATGTTCTCTCCCACCCAAATGCAAGGTGGTTATTTGCTTGGAGTTGGTAAAGGGCTGAAAGGACCAGCCACTTGTTTTCCTTGGGGATGAGAATAAACTGTGTCCACAGCAACTCTGAGCTCCTTGAAAGAAAGTCCCTGAGAAAAAGCCAGTACTGACCAAAAAAGCTAGGCCCAAAGAATATGGAAGGAGCTGCAGATGAGCAGTGACTGGCATAAATGGTGGTATTGTAGAGAATCCAAAGCCTTTACTTCTCTGTTCACTGAGCTCTTGGAAAACCTCAAAGTGGGAGGGTGTTTTAAAGAACAAAGAATGTTGCTGATTCACATTAAAAGCATACCAGTACCTGAAGACTGTCATAAAACTGGGAGTGACTGGAAAGCAGAAGCATTCGTTGTTTTCCTTTTTTAAAACCTACTCACGTACCTAGGACCTGCCTTAAGGTCCTTACCAATTTGGGTTTTAGGAACATGAAACAGAAGGTTCACACCTAATAAGATCCACTGTTCTCTGAAGCCATGAAGCTGTTCATAACTCCATAAAGCTAGAAAAGCTTTCCGCTCATTCCTGTTGAGCAGCAGAGGTTGGCAAAGTGGATGGGTGTGAATGATCATCGTAACTTGATCAGTAAGGAGACTATCTGTGTAGGACCCATCCCATGACCAGTCTGGATGGAGGGACAGTGTCCACCTCACCTATTAAGCCCTTTCCCCCAGGGATTCCACAGCACTACACCAGAGCCCTCTCCTTCCACAGAGGACTTACGGGAGCAAGGATCTGGGGATTTAGAGAAGAAAAAGTATACAGATTCATAGAACTTCAGAACTGGGAAGGTCATCCACCCATGTAAGCCCCCAACTCTGCATTGAAACTTACTATTAACTGCAGTATTTATAGTAAACAGTTTTACTTTGAGAAGTAATCAAAAACCTCCAGAACATATTCTGCACATTGATAGTCTAATAAATAGGTCCAGTCTAAAACCCCCCAAATGTCATGCAGCCTTTTGGCTTGGCAGAGCTCTGGAGACCTGTTTTCACACAATCAATTTGATGGTGTCTTTAAAAGTGGAGAATAACAAATCTTTCAGGTTCTATGTAAATGGCCTGTGACTGCATCTGTGTGCACCAACTCGTGTCTTGGCCACATGGCTGAGGACACTGACATCACCACTAGGTGTAGACCAGTCTTTCTAAACATGGCTGAACACACCTGCTCCGGACCACTTTCTACTCCAAGAACCCCCCACGTACCTTGCTCACGTACCAGCCAATCAGAAGAACAGCCAAGAAAACATGAGTGGACATATGCCTTAGGAGAACCAAAGTGCGAGGGAGTGGGTGAGTTGGGGGTGGGACAGGTCATAGGAGGGAGGGAGCTGGTAGGCATAAGTAGTAGAAATCAAGAAATAATCGAAGGTTACATGCATGTGCCATTACCCTACTTTAAATGGATTAAAGTAGCTAAAAGCTCTGCTTTTACACTTTTTTTTTTTTTTAACTGGGAGAAATTCCCTCTCAGATTACATATCAAATTGCTCAAAATAAAAACAAAACTGCTGTAGCAGTTACCTCTAGGGAAGAAAACGGATGTGAGGGGTAGACAGGTGGTGATAGGGACTTTCAGATTTCAAACTCTGTGTTGAGTGTCTTTTAAGACTGTATCAGCATATTCTTTTTTTTTTTTTTTAAAGAATGTATTGGTATATTATATATGGAATTTAGAAAAAAGCTGCCTCTGCTGAGTCCCAGTCCCACCTGTGTGCTCGGTGATTACCATCGAATGCCGGGTGAGTCAGCCCTCATGGGCTTCACCATCATCTTGAACCAACCCTGATCTGACCATCTGTTTTCCAGATTGAGGGCAGCGACTGTGAATGCAACCCTGCCGGAAAGAACTTCCCTGAAAACCAAATCCTGATCAAACGCATGATGATTAAGTGTGCTGATGTGGCCAACCCATGCCGCCCGTTGGACCTGTGCATTGAATGGGCTGGCAGGATCTCTGAGGAGTATTTTGCACAGGTGCGCCATCTTGCCAGGGAAGCTCCACTTCCTCTCTGGGAATGGGCCCCAGGTCATGGAAATCCTGGGGGACTCTCCGGTTAACTTTTTACCAATTAGTTAACGACTCCTCCCTAGAAGAAAGCAGCTTACCCACTCCTGGGGTAGACTTCTGGTTCCCTCAGGAACTGACTGTGGGGCTGATCACTAACCACAGTCTCTCTAGAAGGATAAACTGAGCCTTTTGGAAGTAACTTTTCATCTTCAATTTGTTCGATCCAGAACTTGTACAAAAATCAGAACTTGTACAGAATCAGAACTTGTACAAAAATCAGAACTTGTACAAAAATAAGAACTTGTACAGAATCAGAACTTGTACAAAAATCAGAACTTGTACAAATCCAGAACTTGAGAAATCTTCCATTCATTCACTAGGTTATTCCTGGGAGTCTCCATGGTGGGTTATGGGAACACAAGCATTAGTGAAGACATCGCGGCCACGGCAAGTTCCCATTCCAGTGGGGGAAGGGATGCAGATAGGTCCACATGTTGGTAAAAAATGAAGTATATCTCAAGGAAGTTTGTTAAGTGCGACAGGAGTTCAGAGACTTTTTTTCCTAGATAAAATCGGGGCTACAGAAATGTGGGAATAGGAAAACACTCTGGAAGAACAAAGCATTCTGAGCAAAATTAACAAGGGGAGGGAAAACAGAATTGTTATATAAAGAGGAGCAATATGTAGTTCACTTTAACTGTGGCAGTGTAAAGGAGAGTTAAAGGAGAGAAATCTAGAAAACAGTAGACTGTAAATGGACATGTGAAACAGCCCTACTTCCAGAGAAAAGACTCTAAGCACTGATGGGTGTGTGGGTGACAAACAAGTAGCCACAAGTAGTGAATTTTGTGGGGTCTGCATGGCTGAAATGTACTATGGTGGCAGTATAAATAAGGGCAACATAAAGAATAGATGATACCTAGGAAGACCATGAAGGGGAGTGGCCAGCAGCGGACCCAGTATGTTTAAGATTTGGGGTACATGTGCAGGTTTGTTAAAAGGGTATATTGCTGATGCTGAGGTTTGAGCATCTAATCATCCATGGCTCAAGTAGTAAACATAGTACCCAATAAGGAGTTTTTCAACCCTTGTCCCCTTCCCTCCCTCCTTTTGAAGTCTCCAGTGTTTACTGTTCCAGTTTCTGCCACTGTGTGTACCCAATGTTTAGTTCCCACTTCTAAGAAAGAACATGTGGTATCTGGTTTTGTTTCTATATCACTTCACTTTAGGATAATGGCCTCCAGCTCTAGCCATGTTGCTGCAAATGACATGATTTCATTCTTTTTTTTATGGCTGCATAGTATTCCATGGTATATATGCACCACATTTTCTTCATCCAGTCCACCAATGATGGGCACCTGGGTTGATTCCATGTCTTTGCTACCATGAATTGTGCTGTCATAAACATGCAAGTACAGGTGTTTCTTCAGTACAAAGATTTATTTTCCTTTGGGTATATACCCAGTAATGGGACTGCTGGGTTGAATAGCAATTTCTATTTCTAGTTGAGAAATCTCCGAACTGCTTTTCACAGGGGCTACTTGATCTAATTTATTTCTCACCAACAGTGTATAAGCATTCTTTTCTCCGCAACCTTGCCAACATCTGTTATTTTCTGACTTTTTAATAATAGCCATTCTGACTAGTTTGAGATGGTATCTCATTGTGATTTTGATTTGCATGTCTGATTAGTGATGCTGGATTTTTTTTTTTTTTTTTTTTTTTTTTGGAGACAGTCTTGCTCCATTGCCCAGGCTGGAGTGCAGTGGCATGATCTCAGCTCACTGTAACCCTCACCTCCCAGGTTCAAGCAATTCTCCTGCCTCAGCCTCCCAAGTAGCTGGGATTACAGATGCACGCTGCCACGCCCAGCTAATGTTTTGTATTTCAGTAGAGATGGTGTCACTGTGTTTCCCAGGCTGGTCTCGAATTCCTGAGCTCAGGCAATCCGCCTGCCTCGGCCTCCCAAAGTGCTAGGATTACAGGCGTGAGCCACCGCGCCCAGCCTGGACATTTTTTTTTTAAATGTCTGTTGGCTGCTTGTATGTCGTCTGTCTTTAGAGAAGTGTCTGTTCATGAAATCCAGTAAGTAAACTGCAGCTTTCTCGGAAGAGAGCCCCTGAATTGAAGAAAAGTAGGACAGGTAGTTCTGAGCTTTCCAGAGAGAACAGGAAGGGGGTGGGGATCAAATGACTCCTTGAACACCAGTGGATATTTTAAGGCTGCTTGATCGACTGACCTGAAATGAGCAAGCCAAGCCAAAAGCTGCTCATCAATGGGCTGGACCCAAAGAGTGAGGACCTGAAGTACTACTCCTAGTTATTCTCAGTGTGAATGGAGAATGAGAAAAATGTGCTTTTAAGTTTTTTCATATAAGCTTCCTATTTAGGTGTCCTTTTCCCAAAAAGGAATGTACTAATGTTCATAAGGGCCAGGGTGACCTAAAAATGAAAGTTACAAATGAAGCCTTTGAGCTGGCCTCTGGCTCAATACACCACCAGGAAATGCGGATCTTAATATTCAGCTCTATGAATGATGGCCTTACTTTTAATGTGCATAATACTCAGATTTCCACACACCTCAAAAGCTGCATGGCTAATACCCACATCTGAACAATCATAGTTTGACAGTCATTCTTTCAAGTGAAAATAATGCTCCATGGATAAAAGCAGCTGGTTCATCTCAATGCAAGTGCATACGTGCTTTTCCACAAGATGACCAGCAGATTTTGGTATGCAGTGCAAGTGCATGTGTACTCCCATTTCATCACATTCATCACACAGAATATTACAGAGACATGTACTTCAAAGGTCAAGATTCAATACAATAACTCTTACTGCTTCAAAGAGGTAATTCTTAAGTGAAACTGTTTGTTTTTTGTTTTCTTTTTTCCAGTTTGAGACAAGATCTCACTCTGTCACCCATGCTGGAGTGCAGTGGCACAGTCCTGGCTCACTGCAGCCTCAAACTCCAGGCCTCAAGCAATCCTCCTGCCTTGACCTCTCATATTACTGGGATTACAGGCATGAGCCAGCGGGCCCGGCCTGAAACTTTTTGAAGTGCAAACATGTGACAGCGAATAACATAATGACTATGGCTATTAATACAGTTTGGTGCTAGTTCATTGAGTCATGCTAAGGTGTTAGCAGTTTTACCCACTGTTGCTTCTTCTCAGTGTAAAACGTCAGTAGTTTTGGGATGAGAATTTGTGTTTGTATGACATTGAAAATAGCTTTGACTTTGCAATAATAAAAGATCACAGCAAAAAGGCTAAGTACCCTGAGATCAAAATGTCAGGAGATGCTATGGTATCACATAGAAGTAAGAGGCTTGGGGCTCGTGCCTATAATCCCAGCACTTTAGGAGGCCAAGGCAGGCAGATCACCTGAGGTCAGGAGTTCAAGACAGTGAACTGGCCAACATGGTGAAACCCCGTCTCTACTAAAAATTAGCTGGGCATGGTAACAGGTGCCTGTAATCCCAGCTACTCAGGAGGCTGAGGCAGAAGAATCGCTTGAACCTGGGAGGCAGAGGTTGCAGTGAACCGAGACTGCACCACTGCACTCCAGCTTGGGCGACAGAATGAGACTCTGTCTCAAAAACAAAAGAAAAAAAGTAAGAGGCTTGAGTTGGGAAGGCCTGAGTGTAGTCACTGTAGCTCAGCTGACTTATGTAAGTCTGAGGACCTTGCTGAGCCTATTTCTTCATTGAGAAAACTGGGTAATAACCCATTTTCACAGGGTTGTTCTGAGAAACAGGATATTACTGTAAAAGTGTCTCGCATGTCCTCCAGCCCTATGTGATGGTGTTTTTTTCTTACAGACCGATGAAGAGAAGAGACAGGGGCTACCTGTGGTGATGCCAGTGTTTGACCGGAATACCTGTAGCATCCCCAAGTCTCAGATCTCTTTCATTGACTACTTCATAACAGACATGTTTGATGCTTGGGATGGTAAGACACTTACTGTTTTGTCACCTACAAAGAAAACTTTGTTATACTTTATTATCTTTAGTGACATAGGGTGACCCTAAAGGTAAACAAAATATATTTTTTAAAATGTCGCTGTCAGCTTTTTGTGGCCGAGTTGGGTGGGTGCATTCTTTGCATCCCCAGCAGCTGGCACAGAAGCTTGTGTGCAGAAGACTCAATGGATTTTTGGTAACTGGATAAACGAGTCTTTGCCTCTTCTAAGGACACGTTGCAGAAGCTACTGCAGTTTTATTCTATCATTGGAGGAAACTCTAGAAAGAATGCAAAATGTATTTAGTTTACTCTGAATCATAGGTTCTTCTGATAAGCAGCTTTTCAAAAAGGATCTGTTTGTATTTCAGCAACTAGTGTTTAATGACTTGTCCTCATGTTGTGTGTTCACTTAACAGCCTCAGGCCTCACCCAGGGTATGCCTCCTCTAATTCTGATCCCACACTTGTCCCAGACAGCCCCATGCTTATAAATGCTCCTGGGGTCTAACTTCACAGGTTTCTTTTGATTCTTTTCTGTCCTTGCAGCCTTTGCACATCTGCCAGCCCTGATGCAACATTTGGCTGACAACTACAAACACTGGAAGACACTAGATGACCTAAAGTGCAAAAGTCTGAGGCTTCCATCTGACAGCTAAAGCCAAGCCACAGAAGGGGGCCTCTTGACCTACAAAGGACACTGTGAATCGCAGTAGCGTAAACAAGAGGCCTTCCTTTCTAATGATAATGACAGGTATTGGTGAAGGAGCTAATGTTTAATATTTGACCTTGAATCATTCAAGTCCCCAAATTTCATTTTTAGAAAGTCATGTTTCATGAAGAAAAATATATGTCCTTTTGAATACTTAATGACAGAACAAATACTTGGCAAACTCCTTTGCTCTGCTATCATCCGGTGTACCCTTGTCAATCCATGGAGCTGATTCACTGTAACTAGCAGGCCACAGGAAGCAAAGCCTTGGTGCCTGTGAGCTCAGTCTCCCAGGATGGTGACTAAGTGGCTTAGCTAGTGTTCAGCTCATCCTTTACCATAAAAATCATCATTGCTGTTTAGCTTGACTATTTTCCTCAAGAGCATTGATCTGAAGGATTCATAAGAAGCTTATCTGAACAGATATATCTAAGGAAAAAAAAACTACATAAAATAAGTGAAATAACTTGGACCAAATTACAGATAAACTAGTTAGCTTCACAGCCTCTATGGCTACATGGTTCTTCTGGCCGATGGTGTGACACCTAAGTTAGAACACAGCCTTGGCTGGTGGGTGCCCTCTCTAGACTGGTATCAGCAACCTGTGTTGTACCCCCTTTCCTGTAAAAGGGGGTAACAGCCATCCACGATGAGGGAAAAAGTAGCATTTCATTTTTGGGGAATCCATGAGCTTCCCTTATTTCTGGCTCACAGAGGCAGCCATGAGGCACTATAACAAGTATTATATAAAAGCCATTAAATCTGAATGCCCTTGGACAAGCTTTTCTTAAAAAAAAAAAGTTTATATACATGTTTAAAATTTTTATTAAAATCCAAATTTTCTGGGTGTAAGCCCATGGAGTATATTGTGCCATGCACCACATATACGTAATATTTCGGGAGGGGATAGGGAGGGGAAGTTTCAAGGTTCAGATATTTTTAACCAATCTATATTTGAAATCATGCCATTAGCTTTAACAATGTTAAAATTGTGCGGTGTAAATATATCAGAAAATAAGCATATGGGGAGGCAGTAAATACTATTTTAAGCTATTAATTGTATGCTAAAAGCTTCTAAAGCACAAGTGCATATTTTTATACTGCTCTTTTCACAACTCTGTGATCTACATAAAGTCAGACTTGAGATTTTCTTTTCTCTTTTACCAGCCGATCCTTCCTATGTATAATATTAGACCCCGTAAACAAACTTCGTTTTTCTTTCTCTGTACTTCATGCTGCATTTTTAAAAGGTATAAACAGAGACTGAATTAATTGAATCAGTAATTACTTTTTTCCAATACAAATTGGAATGCAGAATACTTGGAACTTGTACATGGGGAAAAAATGACTTATCACTACATAATGTGCCAATGTTTTTTTCTATGTTTTGTACCAAAAATGGAAAAATATGACAATTCCATGCAAAGAAATGTATCTAAATTATTTTTGTTAGATGATAAGAGAACTTGCTTGGTCAGGACAGCAGCCAGCTTTGTATTGTAATGCTATATTATGTAAATGTGATGAAAATGTTTTTGTGAAGTACTTGTAACTAAATTCCTACAGCCATTTTTCATTCCCAACAGCTGTTTTTATTTTACCTCTTTGGCCTAAACTTTTCATAATTTCAAATTTGGGGTTTAGTGTCCTTTATTTCATGAGTCACACACTTTGTTTTCAGAGCACATTAAAATCAAGATGCCAGAATCCCATATTAAGGACCTAGCTAACTTGCCTAGGCTTCAGAAGCTTGCTTGAGGCAAGGGACAGTCCTTTTCTGATCATCTCACTTTCAGTTCTATTTGGTAAGTAACATTTATCAGGTGTCTGACATCTTCTACATGAAATATTTACAGCTTACTCAGTGTTATGTCAAATTTCATGTTAACTTCAAACTTTTTATTAGTAATGTGTAAATGTTTAAAAATGCTTTAAGACCGCTAGGTACTAAAGCTTCAACAATTTCTGCTCTTTACCAATGTAATCTACATTATAATCTTCTGAGCTGCAAACTAGTCTATTCTTCCATATAGTCAACTTGTTAGAAATACAGGCTTTCAGATGGTGTTTGTATCAGATAGTTTATATTATATAAACCACTATAACTGCCTCTTATATGGAGTTGTTTACTTAAACGGCATGTGTTGAGGGGGCTGTATTAGGAAAATGCAACACTCTTTAATAATTTCCGTTGACTACTAAAGAGGAGGAAGCTAGTTATAAAACATTGCTGGACCAGAATGACCCTATAATTTCCTAAGATCATTCTTTATTTCTAATTTAAGATTTTTAAATTTACTTGCCCTCTAAGTCAGGACTGGTTAGCATTCTGGGGCAAAAAAACAAGCTTATCAGTTCACACAGAACCTACTCAGCTGTAGAGAGAGAAACAGAAGGGATGATCCTGTGCCCTTGTGCTCTGTGACTATAGCCAGAGACTGAGGTAATAAATATATTTAAATAAAAATGACAAGGCATTTGTACACATTGTAACACTATGTAGTGTTACTTCTGCTGTTGCAAGTATCTTAAGTGTTGAAAGCTAAACGCAGGAAATGGAGAAAATGTACATAATATACATTGACCCATTCTTTTTTTTTTTTTTTTTGAGACGGAGTCTTGCTCTGTGCCCCAGGCTGGAGTGCAGTGGCATGATCTTGGCTCACTGAAAGCTCCGCCCCCCGGGTTCACGCCATTCTCCTGCCTCAGCCTCCCAAGTAGCTGGGACTACAGGCGCCCACCACCACGCCCGGCTAGTTTTTTGTATTTTTTTAGTGGAGACGGGGTTTCACGGTGTTAGCCAGGATGGTCTCGATCTCCTGACCTTGTGATCTGCCCGCCTTGGCCTCCCAAAGTGCTGGGATTACAGGCTTGAGCCACCGCGCGCGGCCACATTGACCCATTATTCTAAATCGAAAGTCCAACTTTTAGGAGCAGTCTACCTGCAACTATTGAACACCATCAGGTTTGAGACCCTAGGAGAATTTCCCATCATACTGTTATCCCCGATCTTTCTGACTTTAGGGCATGCATGAAAACAAAAGCAATCTAGTCCCTAGGGCTGGAGACTGCCCTCTAGACAGTTTTTCATGGCAGAAAATTAGAATACAAGTATACCTCATTTTATTGCATTCTGTTTCATTGTGCCTCAAAGATACTGTCATTTCTACAAATTAAGGGCTTGTGGCCACCCTGCATTGAGTAAGTCTGTTGGGGCATTTTCACAACATGGGCTCACTTTGTGTAAGTGTCACATTTTGGCAATTTTTACAGTATTTCAAATGTTTTTATTCTTGTATCTGTCATGGTGATCAGTGATCTCTGTTACTACTGTAATTGTTTTAGGGTACTGCAAACCATGCCCATATAAGACAGTGAACTTAATTGATAAATCTTGTGTATATTCTAACTGTTCCACCAACAAGCAGTTTCCAATCTCTCCCTCTTCTTGGACCTCTCTATTCCCTGAGATACAACAATATTGAAATTAAGCCAATTAATAACTTACAGTCGCCTCTAAATGTGCAAGTAAGAGTCACGCCTCTCACTGTAAATCAAAAGCTACAGATAAGTTTAGTTGCAGAAGGCATGCTGAAAGCCCAGGCAGGTCAAAAAGCCATGCCTCTTACACCAGTTAGCCAAGTTATGCAAAGGAAGAGTTCTTGAAAGTGTTACTCCAGTGAACATGCAAACAAGAAAGTGAAATAGCCTTATTACTGAGATGGAGAAAGTCTGAGTGGTCTATATACAAGACTAAACCAGCCACAACATTCTCTTAAGCTAAAGCCTAATTCTTCAATTCTTTGAAGACTTGAGAGGTGAGGAAGCTACAGAAGAAAAGTTGGAAGCAAGCAGAGGTTGGTTCATGAAGCTATCTCCATTAACATCAAAGTGCAAGGGGAAACAGCAAGCAGTTATCCAGATGATCTAGCTAAGATCACTGAAGGTGACTACACTGAACAACTGAGTTTGTGAAGATGAAATGGCCTTCTATTAGAAGAAGATGTCATCTAGGACTTTCGTAGCTAGGGAGAAGTTCAACGCCTGCAAATGTAGCTGGTGCGTTTAAGCTGAAGTCAAGAGTTTATTTACCAGTCCAAAAATCTTAAGGTCCTTAAGAATTATGTTAAATCTACTCTGCCCATGCTCTAGAAGTGGAATAACAAAGCCTGGATGACAGCACATCTGTTTATAGCATGGTTTACTGAATATTTAAACCTATGGTTGAGAACTCAAATTTCTTTCCAAATATTACTGCTCATTGACAATGTACCTGGTACCTAAGAGTTCTGATGGAGATGTACAAGGAGGTCCGTGTTGTTGTCTGCATGCCTGCTACCACAACATCTATGCTGCAGTCCATGGGTCAAGGAGTCACTTTGACTTTTAAGTCTTATTTAAGAAATACATTTCATAAAGCCGTAGCTGCCCTAACTAGTGATTCCTCTGATGGGTCTGGCCAAAGTCAACTGAAAACCACCTGGGAAGCATTTATCATTCTAGATGCCGCTAAGAACATTCTGATTCATGGGAAGTGGTCAAAATTTCAACATTAAAAGGAGTCTGGAAGAAGTGGAGCCTGAAGGTAATAGATGAGAAGTTGCTTAAGAATGTGTATAGAAAGTAGTTTCTGGAGACAGTCATTTCCACAGTGAAGGTGCTGTTAAACACCGTTGAAATGACAACAAAGGATTTAGAATATTCTATAAATTTAGTTGATAAAGGAGCATCAGGGTTTGAGATGACAGACTCTAAATTTTGAAAGAAGTTCTATTGTGGGTAAAATGCTATTAGAAAGTATTACATGTTACAGAGGTACCTTTGTGAAAGGAAGTCAACTGATTTGGAAAACTTCATTGCTGTCTTATTTTAAGGAACTGCCACAGCCACCCCAACCTTCAGCAACCATCTTAGTCAAGACCCTCCACCAGCAAAAAGATTATGACTCACTGAAGGCTCAGATAGCATTTTTTAGCAATAAAGTATTCTTAAGGTTATGTACATTTTTTAGAAATTTAAGACTGCAGTATAAACAAAAGTTTTATAGGCACCGGGAAACCAAAAACTAGATGTGACTCACTCTATTTGCAATACTTGCTTTTTTGATGTGGTCTGAAATCTAACCTGTAATATCTCTGAGGTATGCCTGTATAATGATGGAAGGAATTTGCTGTGGTACTTATGGTACCATTTGCTTCCAAAATTCATGTGATTTCTACCACTCTATTTGAATAGATTACTATCACAAAACACTAGCCTAGAACAGGCTAGGAAGTAAAACAGTTAAAAATCTATGACTCCCGTGTGTCATACAACTTAAGAAAACAACTTTACAAATGTATGGGCTAATACAGATTTTCTAAAGGAAAAAGCATGTGAGTAATGGGAGAAAGTCTTTTGTAATGGAGGTAGCTTAAGTTTTAATATTTCTCCATAAAACTTTTCATGATTCAATGTTATTTGGATTTAAAGTAGTCATATAAGCCTCTCTCATTCAGTCTTCAATTCCTGTTTTTAGAGCTGCTCAGTGATACTGGGCACTACAGAGTTAATTGCAAGGCCTTACCGCATTGGGCTTCAGTTTCCTCATTTATAACATTATGCCATTGATCTACCTAGATGACCTTAACTCTTCCAGTCTTTGACTGTAGGTAGTTGTGGAAGCAACTGTCAAAGCTAAAACTAGTAAAAAGAACTCTGAAGATTCCCTTTAGGGTTATTTGTATAATGAACACATAAATCTGTAGAAAGTTTTCCGTAAGAAGAGTCAGTCTGCTAACATCAGTCACGTTGCCCTTTCTTAATCAGTAGTTTAAGAATTTCAGTCTTTAATGTGTGGACTACTTTACGTTCTCATTTTTTTATTTTTTAGCACCAAAAGGAGAAAACATACTGTTACAAGGCTGGTTATAGTGTCTCAATGGGCACTGCAAAGAACTACATAAATGAAGTCTGTCTCAAGCAATTCGTATTTGAGTCAGTGGTCAGATGGGGCAGTTGCGCTCAGCTGCAGTCTGACTCTGGAAACATTGTGCCTCCCAAATGATCTAGAGCTCATCCTTGGTGTACATGAGGGGCAGCTGTTGTTCTAGTACCAATTTAGCCCATGGCTGTTCAAGCCACTTTGCACTGGGAAAAATACACCCTCATAAGATTCCTATCCATTTGAGTTCATATAGGTTTTAGTAGCTAGAACTAAAAAACATTTTTAAATTATCTAAACAAATTGATACCCCCAAAAAAACTTGCCATACATTAACAGTACATATGTTCATTTTTTTGGCTGAGAAATTCAAGTTTGTGCTATATAGAACACTAACAGTTACTATAAGACCCGGACAATTTGCAGGAGAAAGGCTATTTTTAAACTTCACAATAATTCTAAAGGAAGCCAAATAATAAAACTTCTAATAAATGCCATAACTTAACTATTACCTCTATTTGTACCTTTCACAAGGGTCTAGGTTCAAAATAAGCTCAAAACACAGCACTCACCACTTCAACAGCAGCTGAAAGTCAAATGGAAAACTTGTGGTATATTCTTTGGAGGATATACTAGGACCTGAGAAGCA